AGCCGGGAGACATAAGAGCAGGGAATCTTGGTGAATTCCTCTTTAAGCTCTATTCTAAGTGAAGAAGTGAAGCAGCGTAAGCAGGTATAGGATTTGTGTGAATGGCAAGGAAATCTAGGGCACACTGTCTGCTTTGGTTGTACGATGTGAGATTCTAGGTGATGAAGGCAAGGGAAGTGGTCCACGCTATGTGAAGGAAGTGGTTAGCATGCTGATGCTAGATTAGGTAGAGCCCAAGAATAACAGTTCCTACAGGGTAATGGGGTCCTACAAATCAAAGTATCAGAAATACAGACTTAATTCATGGTTCGTACATGCTATAACATCAAATCTCAACATGTAAGCCATGTTGAGATCAACTGAGAAATTTAGACTCAAAAGATCATGTATGTACCCCAGGGTCTCCTGGAAATTCATGGTCTGGTGTACCCCTGGCTCATAAATCTAGATCAAGTGCTCAGCCATCAGAGACCTGACAGCCTCATTCTTTCTTGAGTTTGCATTTCCTATGAATATAGGACACTGAGAAAGGTCTAGAACTGAGCGTAAACAATGGTAAAAAGGGGTTATGAAGAGCAACACTTCTCCACTGCTGCTTGTCCTGGCAATGCTACCCTATTTCCATATTTTGGAGGTCCATTCTTCCAAATACCTTATGTCCATCTGTTAAGTGGATTAGCTAGTGATTAGCAGTCACCTAGCAAGACACTGGGGGAACATTAAAGGGAGTAGGATGTAAATTTGGCATGTAGGAGGTGTCCAATATGTGAGCATTTCGTGTAATGCAAGTGGTATCAACTGTTTGTTGGTAATATTCTTGCCTCCCCTTCTCATTGTATCCAAACACACTTTACTCTGGCTGTATGGGGAAAGGTCATTACTGAACTAATATGCTCTATGCCAAGGTGATCTGTAACCAGACCCTCAACAATCTTGCCAATTCCTACACATCTACTGCCCAGGCGTCCATGGTATATATCCTCCTGATACCACTCTTCTGGTTGTTCTCAGCCTAAGTTGTATCCATGCCTTCTTTTCTTCTTCTTTGGCTCTCTCGCTTTTTTATTTACACTCCTCTCTCTACCATAAGGTCATGTGCACTCATGCTGTGTACTCATGATTGGGTCAATCTTCTTCCAGTATTGGGATGACCAAATCCAGTGAGTTTTGTTGTTGTTGTTTGTTTTTTGTTTTTGCTTCTTTTTGTTTTACTATTCATCCCAAGCTAGCCTAAACTTGAGGTGATCCTTGGACCTCAGCCTCAGTCACAAGTATGTGAGTGTGTCCCATCATGCATTGCCAGTGGCATTGTTTACCAAGGTATATCACTATCTTCATCTCACAAGGAGCCAATATCACCTGCTCATACTTTACTCTTAATTTTAGCCCCACATTAGGGCAGGGAACAATTCCTCATTCCTCATACACATCTCCATATTTCTTCACAGCAGTTTCCTCCTAATTATAAATGGACCGTATGCTCAGAATAAAGACTTTAAATTTATTAACAACAACAACAACAAAATCAACATTCAGGATTGCCATCTGTGAATCTCCTCTCATCTATGTTTCCCAGGAATTCTGTTTTAGTGACATGATAATAATAACACCAGTGTCAAAAGGAGATAAGTGTGGAATTGATTTCTAATGGCATCAGGCATGGCCCTAAAGCCCATAACCAGGATTTCTCAGAAGAGTTTCCATTGTTAATGGCTCTTCTCTCTATAAATCTCATCTCAGACTTTGGATGGGGTTAAGATCTGATAATCTAATGATGTTAAAATAAGAACATACATTTTTAGTTAAATATCATTAAATCAAAATATCACCATTCAGATATCAAATGTACATCTCTACCCAAATTTTTATTTGGTTTTATTTAAAATAATTAGGAACAGAAACAATGACAAATAACCCAAATATACACGTTACGGAGTTGGCTATTGAAACCATATGTCCTGGATACTAGATTATAAGGTGCTTTACCATGAAGACTCTCCAGTGCCACACACTATTTTTCTTTTTGATAAAGTCTGGGAATTTTCTTTTGGGCACATATTTTAAGGAGCTTTTCATCCACATTATCTGTATCTAAAGGAGAACAATATGAAGAGAAGAGGAATTGTGTCTTATAAGCAACACGACTATTTACCAAACAGTGAAACATCAAGATTGTTGGTGAGAAAGGATATGAATGTTCTTCTGCCTCTTGAAGAAGGACCAGATCAGTCCCCTTAGATCCAAAAGCAGATAGAAGGAAGACTGTAGGCATGAGGTTATTGTGTAATTAAAATACTGATTTCTGTATTTCCCCATATCTGGTTGCAAGCCTTGTTGTGTAAGAATCTTCTGTCTTAATGTTGTATAAACTCTGCTTCCCAATGGTCGCCTGATATGTTAATAAAGCAGCTTATAGCCAATCACTGAGCAGGGAAGAAAATAGGGCTAGAATTCCTGCCAGACAGGGAGGACAGGGAGGAGGAGGAGGGTATAGGGAAGTAAGGGATTCAGACAGGGAGGAGGAGTTAGGGTATAGGGAAGTAAGGGATTCAGCCAGGAGATTCAGTTACTGGAGTCCAGTTACTTCAAGTCCAGGAGACTTGAAGAGAGAGAGCTCACCAAGGAAAGCTACAAAATGCCTGTATCACAGGATGTACACTGGGGGGAAACCAAATTATCCTAGAGGGTTAAGATTAGAGTAATAACTACTCAGTTCTTGTGTTGTGAAGTTTATCATTAAAAAGGTATTATAGAGTCTCAGTTATTTGTGATAGTTGGGCTAAGAGAAAAACTAAGAGAATCCAACAAAGTTAAATAAAAATAACTGAATGAGATTTAATCATCATCCCAAGGGTCCTCCTTGTTGTTTAGCTTTTTTAGGTGTGTAGATTTTAGTATAGCTATCCTATTTTATACGGCTAATATCCACTTATAAGTGAGGGAAGTTAGGGCAGGCATTTGAGCAAGGAAGTAAAGAAAGGACCATGAAGGAATGCTCTTAACTGGCTTACTTTCCAGGGCCACCCACAGTAGGCTCTATCAGTCATTATTCTTCAGCTTGTTCTGGTGGAGGCATTTGGTCAATTGTGGTTCCCTTTTCCCAGGTGGCTCTAGCTTGTGTCAAGTTGACAAAAGACTATAAGCACAGGTAAAAGCTCTCACTGTCTCAGGAAGTAACCTGATTCCTCTGAGCACACATATCATGAAAAAAACAAAATTCCAGTGTGCCCAATGACCTAATTACTTTCCACTGGGCTTTACCTTGCACAGATTCTATCACAGCACAATGCTGTCACATTAGAGAACAAGGCCCCCACACATGAACCCTCGTCACATCAATTGTGTCCAAAACATCGAATCTGCAAAATCAAAAAAGTGTTAGTGATGTCATTCTTCAGGAGGTTGTTGCTAAGCAGTTTGTCATATTTCCAGTTCCTTCTTTCTTGAAAGCCATCTCTCTTCATTCCCCAGCCACACCTGTTCACTTCCTTCTGAGCTTCCTGGCATCTGTGGTGGGTGTCTACTCTACCCATCAAAATCATGCTTGCCTTGCAAGACCTACTTTTCATGTTGCCACCTTTTAAGTACTCCTCCATTTTGACCTGTGCTGTCCCGCACACCACATTCTTCTATGACCGGATCAGTACCAGCACTGCTCTTGCGTGTTTGACATCTTCTCACAGGAAAATCAGGATGGAGTGGGCTCTTGTAAGGAGCTCAGTTAATGGTGCTGTAGGCAGGTTTTTAACTCACCACGCCACCTGGCTGTTCTCAAGGACAGTCATAACCTCTGCCAGTTGTCATCCCAAGCTCACGTGGCTCAAGTGACAGCAGCCATAGACAATCTATTCTGGCATCTTTCAAAGGTCCCCCATCTTGGCTTTGGCCAGTTCCTCCTCAGCTACTGCTTCTCAGCCTTCCACTCTCTGTCATCAGGCTATGTGTGTCTCCCTCTCTCCTGATTCTCTGAGTGAAGTGCTTAACACAGTTCCCCATGTGTAGTCTTCATCTCTCCTTTGACCCCCCCAGGCACTCCTCTTTAGCTAACACCTCATGCCTCCTCTGGCTGTGTGCAAGGCACACTCCACTTCACAAGGCCTGTATTATCCACTAATTGTTCCCCACAACAAAGACCTTGGCTGCTTCCCAGAAGGTCCTGTGCATGGCAGTGGGCATCTCCAACTGCCGGTGTGCTCTGGACAAAGGCCCTGTAGGTTATGGGACTCCTCTTTTATTCCTACTCCCCCATCCAGCATCCATTCCCTTCATCTACTAAGCAGGACCCCAAGTCTCTGGCCTATTACTATAACTGCTCAGTCTTTATAAATTTGTAAATTTATTATGAGAGTGATCCACATAGTAGCATGAATGGTCTGGGAGACAACAGCTGAGTCTTGTCAGGCCCCTGCATAATGCTCCCTGTTATTTACAGCAACACAGAAAGCCTTTCCAGGGCCCCCAGTCTCTGTTCTACCTGCATTTCTCAGTAACCATCCTCACACACATGTTCACTCAGACTTGGGGTCTTTGTACCTGATACTTCTCCTAACCCAAAATTCATTATTTAGATGCTTATAAGACTTGGATTCATTTTATTTAGACCTATACCAAATGCCACTGCCTCAGTGAGGCCTTCCCTGGTCATGAAACCTCAATTCTGCCTCATTATTTTACTTTGCCTCTTTCTTTATGACTTACTTTCTCTAGTGGCATGACACACCCTTTGAATCTGTTGATTGTGGTCTGCTGTGTAAAATGAATGTAGTAAGATGTCATCTCTTTCTTTCTCAGAAGTGCAGTTGGACGAATGGTACTCAGTACATAGTTGCTAAAAGAAATAGTGAGAGCGAGAGCCCCACAATGATCAATGTAGGGATGAGAGGCAGGGCAAGTCCTCTGTGCCATGCTTCAGAGCATAGCCTGATTGTGGAAGGTCCACTGAGGAATCCCAGCCTGTCTGAAGTCCTGAGATCCTTGCCATTCTCTTTATTTTCTTGCAGCACAGGGGATGAACACAGCCGGGGGAACTGGGGTCACTTGGACCAGGTGGCCGCACTGCGCTGGGTCCAGGACAATATCGCCAACTTTGGAGGGGATCCAGGCTCTGTGACCATTTTTGGAGAGTCAGCAGGAAGTGAAAGTCTCTCTGTTCTCGTAAGTGTCCCTGGAAATCCATGCTTAGGTTTGGTGAATCTGATAGAGCCTCCTGGAGACCCGTCACTCCCAAGGACCAAAGCCAACTTTACTCAGTACAGGAGTTCAGGAATCCTACTCATTACACACTAGATGGTGAGGAGCTAAGGACCAAACTAACTCCTTGGCTTCTAGAAAGTTCAGTGTTCAACTCTATGTTCCAGAGCTATAAGCATCTCCATCTCCAGTTATGACGTGGGGCCCTGACAATCTATTCTTCTCACTGGGTTAATTTTTCTCATTTATTAATCCTTTAGTATTAAGAGTCTGCTTCTCTTTGGAAATAGAGCCGAGTCTAAACCACAAACAAGAAGAGTAGTTTTTAGGCTCCAGGGCAGATGTACATGCTATGGGTTCAAGTGCTAAAAGCCAACAGGGAACCCTGAAGTCTATTTTTGTGACTTGTCAATACTCAAAAGGGAGGGCAGTTGCCTCTAGAAGAGATGGATGGGCTTTGCTTCGAAGGTGGATGAGAAGAGGAATGGGTAGAAATGAGACAGACAAGTCCTAGTAGGAGATGTGGGACACAGAGGTATGAAGGTATTGGTGTGTTGCTGATGTGGGGAATGGAACTTAGAGAAATTCTGAGCGAAGCTATAGGAAGTTTGAGTGGACAGCAAGAACCCTACTGCTAACTCACAGTTAAGAAATGATACCCATCGCTAGTCTCTCTCTCTCTCTCTGTCTGTCTCTCTCCCTTTCCCTACCTCAATCAAGCTGTTAATTCATCAATCTATACATAGCTCTATCTGCATCCATTGATTATCTAGGAAGCAATGTTTTTATCCATATCATTTATCTATGGAAACTGTCTATACATCTATCATTTGTTCATTGATCTATGCATCTATTTATAATCTACCAATTCATCTCTCATTGTTTGTTTATCACATCTCTATTCTCTGACTTCATATAATCTAATTACGTTCCTTTTTTAACAGTGAAATTTTCCTTAATAATGCAATATGATATAAATATCTCCCCAAACATTATACTTTTACATAACATTATAATCTACAATTATACATTATTCCACATTAAAACTGAGAAATTGCTTATTTATCCAATATCCTAATATAAGGGTATTGAAGTGTTCCCAATGTTTCCATTATTAAAAGTTTAATATTAATTAAATATATTTTTGTACCTCTGATCATTTCACATTTCATTTCCACATTCTTTCCTTTCACTTTACTGTTAGTTGTTCCATAAGCTATATCCTCAGCCCTCTTTTATCATGACCATTTTCTTAGGATAAGTTTTTATTAATAGAAATTCTATTGCAGGATTTGTGGCTAGGAATTGCCAAAACCATCTGTCAGGCAGTTTTGATCATCATGATGGAACTTACCACACACTTTCTGGCTCGTTTCTTAGTGTTTGCTCTGAGGTTTTGTGGGGGATCTCAGATCCAAGAAAAGTCTCAGAATCAGAAAAGTCAGAAAAGGCGAAGTGCCCTCATTTCCACAGAGCCCTGCAGTCCCTGTAGTAGGGCAAGGGAGAGGGTAGAAGGAGCCTTAAATGACAAAAAGTACATTGAAACCATGAATTAGAGAGAAGGGGAGGCCAAGGAGCCATGGGTACATGGGAGAAGTTCATTATAATCTCAAGAATTATTTTTAAAAGGGTAAGCTGACCCTTTTGTGTGTATAAATTCTTTTTTCCTTTCTCTCTTCTTCCAGGTGTTGTCTCCTATGGCCAAGAACCTCTTCCACAGGGCCATTTCTGAGAGTGGTGTGGTCTTCACTTCTGGTTTGTTTATGGAGAATTCCAGTTCACTGACTGAAGTAAGTCCCTTCCTAGACAACTCCTGTGTCCTTTCCTCAGATTTCCTGGCATTCTGGTGAGAGGTGGTCTTCTGGTTAGGAGACTTAACTCAAGGGATTCCTGAAGTAAGAATGGCTGAACAGAAAGGGTTTTTAGGGATTTATCTACATCACATTCTGCAGGTATCTGACCTATCTTCCCAGAGGTATCCCAGAAGCAGAATGACACACATGGTATATACTCACTTATAAGTGCATATTAGATATACAATATAGGATAAACATACTAAAATCTGTACACCTAAGGAAGCTAAGCAATAAGGAGGACCTTGGGTAAAATGTTCAATCCTTATTCAGAAAGGCAAATGGTATAGACATCATCTGGAAAGGGAGAAAACAGGGAACAGCACAGGAGCCTACCACAGAGGGCCTCTGAAAGACTCTACTCAGCAAGGTATTAAAGCAGATGCTGAGACTCATAGCCAAATTTTGGGCAGAGTGCAGGGAATCTTATGAAAGAAGTGGGAAATAGTAAGACCTGGAGGGGACAGGAGCTCCACAAGGAGAGCAACAGAATCAAAACATCTGGCCACAGGGGGCTTTTCTGAGACTGATACTCCAATTAAGGACCATTCATTGAGATACCTAGAACCCCTCACACATGTAGCCCATGGCAGCTCAGTATCCAAGTGAGTTCCCTCCCTAGTAAGGGGAACAGGGGTTGTCTTTGACATGAACTCAGTGGCTGGCTCTTTGATCACCTTCCCCTGAGGGGGAAGCAGCCTTACCAGTCCAGAGAGGAAGACAATGCAGCCACTCCTGATGAGACCTGATAGACTAGGGTCAGATGGAAGGGGAGGAAGACCTCACCTCTCAGTGGACTGTGGGAGGGGCATGGGAGGAGAAGAGGGGGAATGGGATTGGGAGGGGATGAAAGAGAGGGCTGCATCTGGGATACAAAGTGAATAAATTGTAATAAATTAAAAATAAAATAAAATTAAAAGATGCCTTGAAGTTCTGCATAGGTTCTGAGGAGAGACTGGGTTTCCTCTGAAGCATCCCACCTGTATTAGTTCTCATATGTACAGTGGCTGCTGGAAACTGGAGTCAAATGATGTCACCTCAGTAAGTGAGTGAGTAGATCTGAACCAGGATGCTTGCTCTTCACTCATCTGTTACTGGCTTCTCTTAATATATTTTGATATTTTGTTCATTTTTAAAGTTATGAAGAAACAGAATTAGATATGTAAGTGACACATTGACATCTGATGTCACAATTATAACTAATAGAAGCAAAAATTTGTAGACTCTGGAAACCACAGAAAACCTACTCTTTCTTTAAAATGGTATTTAGGGTAGAACTCACTGCCTACATCAAGTACTGATGTTGCTCTTGACCTCTGTGGTTGCCTGTTATGTCTTCCAGCAAGTTGCTGTTGCTGCTGGCTGTAAAACCACCACATCTGCTGTCATTGTTCACTGCCTGCGCCAGAAAATAGAGGAAGAGTTCTTAGAGATCACACAGAAAATGGTGAGTGTATAGTCTAGTGAACTTTCTTTACAGACTTGGACACAGGCTTCATTCAGTCTTCTGTCATCTGACTCTAAATTTCCCAAGGCAGGTTTCCAGTTTATTTACTTATTTGTTTATCATTTTTATTTTTACCATTTGGGAGCAATGTTAGTCATTGAAGCCAACTGAGAATTTTCTGCTTTCTTTTTTATTTAAATTTTTTTTCAGTCTTTGAAATTAAAATATAAATTCCTTGAGCCCCTCCCCTTGCTTTCTCTCAAAGTCATGGCCTCTTCTTCTTTAATTGTTGGTGTGTGTGTGTGTGTGTGTGTGTGTATGTGTGTGTGTTGGGATGAGTGTCAGGGAGCTTCTAGGAGTAACAGTTTTTTGTTATGAAAGTACACTTTTTTTCCCCTAAAGCCTGAATAGGAGAAGGAATGAGTTGAAACAGAATCTTCAAGTAACTATTGTCTTAGTTTATGTTTGGAGCTGACTGCTCAGCAGATGTTATTGAGAATCTATACCTAAGCTTTCTATTCTGTTTTTGGGTTCTCCCTGAAGTATGGTTGTCTCCTAGAAAGACAATAGTAACAACGCTTTACACCCTATCAGCTTAGAAACTGTCTAGTATCATTTGAACAATATTTTTAGATTAAACTTTGTTGGATTGAAACTGTTATGCATTCAATTTGAACTATTAACTGTCTTCAGGAATATGGTGTTGCAGCTCACTGCCAGGTGTATGAACTTTTGAAGTGAAAGTAGAGAAGGATTAGAAGGCTCCTCCTGTCCTGCTAGTTCCTACCACACCCAGCCCAACCTCTCTTTTTTTTTTTATTAATTACACTTTATTCACTTTGTATCCCCCCATAAGCCCCTCCCTCCTCCCCTTCTGATTCCACCTTTCCTCCCCCTTCTTCACGCATATCCCTCCCCAAGTCCAGTGATAGAGGAGGTCCTCTTCTTCTTCCTTCTGATCTTAGTTTATCAGATCACATCAGGAGTGGCTGCATTGTCATCTTCTGTGGCCTGGTAAGGCTGCTTCCCCCTCAGGGGGAGGTGATCAAAGAGCAGTCCAATCAGATTATGTCAGAGGCAGTCCCTCTTCCTATTACTATGTAACCCACTTGGACACTGAACTGTCATGTGCTACATCTGTGCAGGGGTTCTAGGTTGTCTCCACGAATAGTCCTTGGTTGGAGTATGAGTCTCTGGGATGTTTCCTGTGTTCAAATTTTCTGGTTCTGTTGCTCTCCTTGTGTGGTTCCTGTTCTTTCCAGCTCTTACTATTTCCCACTTCTTACATAAGATTCCATGCACTCTGCCCAACAGTTGGCCATAAGTCTCAGTGTCTGCTTTGATAGTCTGCTGGGCAGAGGCTTTCGGAGGCCCTCTGTGGCAAGTTCCTAGGTTGTTTCCTGTTTTCTTCTTCTTTTGATGTACAACCTCTTTGCCTTCCAGGACGGGGATTGAGCATTTTAGTCAGGGTCCTCTCTCTTGATTAGTTCCAAAAGAGGCTCAAGCACACAATAAGGACATTTGCTGAACCATGTTTGTAGCAGCTTTATTTGTAATAGCCAGAAGCTGGAAACAGCCCAGATGTCCCTCAACTGAAGAATGGATGCAGAAATTGTGGTACATCTACACAATCGAGTATTACTCAGCAATGAAAAATAAGGAAATCATGAAATTTGCAGGTAAATGGTGGGACCTAGAAAGGATCATCCTGAGTGAGCTGTCCCAGAAGCAGAAAGACACACACGGTATATACTCACTCATATAGACATATAACAGGATAAACCTACCAACCTCCCTTTGATGCTGCTGCATTCTCTCCACTTTTTTCTACAGGAAAATTGGGGCGGTTTTACCACAATGGAACTTCTAAGGGTTTGAAGGAGGATGCAGGTCCAGGCAGGCAGACATTCTCCCCAGAGCTCCAGTGACCCTGACTTTGAGTTCCAGGACATGTTGACTTTCAGATGATGCCCCTCCCTCATCATACTCCACCCTGTGCCATGCGGAGAGAACCTCACCTAGGAGCATGTGCATCAGCCACAGGGGAACTAAATGCACAGTTCAAATAATCAGATTTTATACCAGGAAAGTTGCCCATCACAATCTGCATTTGTTTCCACAGAACTTTTTCAAGCTTGATTTACAAGGAGATACCAGAAAGGTAAGGATATTTTGAGATTTGGAGTCTTGCAGTGTTAGCTCTTCAATTAACTATAGTTGATAGAATTTTCCTTGGTGGAATCATACCATTTTTTTGTGTGCTTTTGATGCCCAGAGTAGCAAAGTCACTTGATAGTTAACACAGCCAAAGAGACCAGAGTGGCTGGCTCTTTTCTTCTAACTGCCAGTTCAGTGCTCCAAATCAGCAATTCTTTTTATCCATTTTTCTTTTTCATTCCTGTTCAAAGAAAAAAAAAAGTTCAATGGCAAGAGATGACACTAGAACTTTCCACTATCAGAAGGCTGAAATTACTGGCTAAGGGTCTTGGGAGTCCTTGTTGAGGACCACAGACCTCTCAGAAGGAAACAGGGCTCAGGAATCATATAGGGAGGAGCCTGAGATGTTAATAATGAGGAAACCACACCTCATTATACCTTATACCATGAAAACTCCAACAGGGCTCCTCATCCCATCCTCCTGTCCTCCCACCTCCCAGCAGTGGCCAGGGTCTGGAAAAATAGTTAGGCAGTGTCCTATTCTCTGGTCATTTTCATTTCCCTTCCCTGGGGATCCCACCACTTTCCCTAAATGTTTGTGAAGCTAGAATGAGATCATTTCAGCTATTTAGTAAGATTTTAAGAAGTGCTTACTTTGTGGCAAGTTATTATTATGAGCTGGGATATAGCAGCAAAACAAACAAGATGTATGTCCCTCTTGGGGAATTATGTCCTGGAGGATGATATAAAAGAGAAAAAAATATTGAACCATGTTATGGGTCTTGGTAATGGTTAAGATAAAAGAGAAAGTTAAGGTGTAGACAGAATTAGCCAGTGGATACATATAAAGAAGGTCACAGATGGCTTCTTGAAGAGCTGAGATCATCTGAGTCAAACTCTGGAAGAAACGATCTGTGAGGAAACTGGGAGGAAGAAGAGGACATAAGAAGGCCTGCTGCAGGAGGGCAGTGTGTTTGGAGTAGTGGCAGGGAGAAAAGAGTAGGCTTGAAATTGGGGAGGTGGCAGAGATTGAAAGGGTCACAGAGGGGGTTGGGTTATGAGGTAGTGTAAAGGGGGAGATGTTCAGACAACTGCACAGAGCTAAGACACGGGGAGTTTGAAAATGTTTCTTTCTTCAACATGTAGAAATATCTTATATGAAAGGGGCAGACGAGATGCAGAGACCAACTTGGAGGTCTGTTGGAGGAGGCAACACAGGCAAAGAGTGGCAAATTCTACAGATGTCAGAGAAGTAGGATGGTAAAGGAATAGTTGACAGGACTTAACTGGTGGATATTGTATAAACTGTAAGAAGAGGCAGAAAGAGGGCTCCTAGCCCTGTCACCACACCATTGGCTTCAGCCCCCACTTAGTGGACAGTGCCAATGACTGTAGTTCTTCTAGACAGCCATCTTAATGTTCTCACAGGAGTGCTGCCCCACAGGAGTGCTCGTCCTTGAGGTCCCTTTCTTGAATTTACTGTCTCTTTCTCACACCACCATTTTATTTCATGCCGTGTAACACCCTAAGGCTTACCCATATGAACACAAGGTAGGCCATGCAAAATGGAAAAGCCCAAGATAACAGGGAAAATATCCTTGCTTCCTCTGTCACTGTAGTAAATACTCTAGATAAGCAACTGATAAGGCAAAGGGTTTGTTTTGGTAGGCCATTTTGAGGTTCTTTCTACAGTCAGTTGATGTTGTTTTGCGACAGTAGCAGGAAGAGGGAAACGATGGGGAGTCCATGGTCTGCTTCAGGAGCACATTTCCAATAACCTGAACTATACTTGAGTCTGATTATTAAAGATTCTGCATCCTACAGCAGCACAGTTGACAGAACAAGACTACTGCACATGGACCTTTAGAAGATATTTAAGATCCAAATCGCAGCACCTTCATTGAGGTAGATATTTAGTGTCTGAGAGAGTCAGAGGTGTGCCAGATGTATGTTGTGCTCTGCTGTGTGAGCACCTTTCTAAGCCCTCTCTAGGTTGTTCCTCCACCACATGTGAGGCTCAGGCAGTCCTGGGATTAGACCTGCATGAAATCATTGTTAATGAAACAACATCCAAAAGTGGGAGAGGATATTTGTCTATCTGAGAGTGAGGCCATTCTGGGTATGGTCACGTGCCTACAGTGTGTGATAAAACTTTGAAAAAGGTAAGGAACCATCTAAATCAGTGGATTCACATGGTTAACATTCACCCAAGGGTGATGATTTAAAAAAAAGTGTACAGCATGATTGTGAGGCTGAAACAATATAATGTTATGTTACCCAGGGTGGGAGAAATAATAAATTCTACACATCCTTTTTCCACCAATTCTTAAAAACAACAAAACCCAAGTATGTTTTGTATATATAGTATAATGTGCATTAGAGCAGGACACCACACATAATATATGAGTACTGGCATTATTGTGGTGAGAGGCCCAGAGGAAAAATACTATACATTTCCCCTGAAACAATGAGTTAGTATTCACTAATTCAACCTTCATGGCAACATTATGGACCTAAGTTTAAGGAACAGTGCTAAGTCTAGGTAATGTGCAATAACTAAAGTATATGTTACACGATACATGTTTGAATCAAGGATCCACATCTTCCTTCTTTGCCACCATTACCTTGCTACAGACAGATATCCTTATTTAGACTTTTGACTCTAGACATTTAGCTCCCTTCTAAGGATTCTGAGTTTCTATGGCCATGGGCCGCAGTCATGGGGTTTATGTTCCATTAGGAGTAATGAAGTCTATGTTCCAGTCATAGCCATGGAGTTTATGTTCTAGCCACAGTCATGGGGGCTACATTCCAGCTTCCCCCTTAGACAGGCAGAGTGGGAGATGCTGGTGATGTCACTGTGCTGCTCTCTTTCCCAGCATTATCCCTTCACACCAACTGTTCTTGATGGGGTGGTGCTGCCAAAGGCACCAGAAGAGATCCTGGCAGAGAAGAGCTTCAACACCGTGCCCTACATGGTGGGCATCAACAAGCAAGAGTTTGGTTGGATTCTGCCAATGGTGAGCATAAACAGAACTGTTAGACAGATGACCCCCCCACCACCAATTACTCATCCAGCCTGTGCATCCATGAGCTCTTTGTTCAAGCCTTGCTTGATATCTAGGGCAGCTGTCCCAATTGTTATGAATGGATTCTTCCAGATACCACCTATCTGTTTCCTGCGAAATGCAGGCCTGGGAATGCGTTGTTTTTGTTTCTCCTTTAATGAATCCTCAAATTCTTGGGTTGGATGGGCCTGTAGAGATAATAATTGTGCCAATGAAATAACCAAATGAACCAAATATGGAGTTGAGACTTCAGGAGCATCAGGCTGGGACACTGAAAGATCCATATGTATTTACCCTCTCAGGATCCCCTTGGCTGCTTTCGATGCCTCGGGGCCAGTGTTCAGAAAAGGGTTATCACTGGGTCTAATCTGTGTCTAATAGGTAAGAAGAGGGTTCTTCTTTAAAGATTATAGAACTCATCTCCTCCACAGTGGCATAGAATTCACCGACAGGCAGGCTTACAAGGTGTTTGTGGTGACTTACCTGCAGAAACAATCCTAGAGTCAGGACTCTGAGAGTGGAGCTTTAGAGGGCGTGGCATGTGCTCTCAGACATGCAGAGGGTTTTGCAGCTCTTACTGAGAGATTTCAGATGTCATCAAAGAACCCACCCATAATCCCATAATGGCTGTAAGGGTGGCTTCCTTAGTCAGTGGGGTCTGTGAGGACACAACCTGTTCCTCTATCCTGCTGTTTTCTGCTTCTTCTTTAGCTTTGTCTAAGATGTTCCCCCACTGCCTAAGGAAACATTGTCCCCCAAACCTAATTAATAGGTATGTAGGTGTCTTCATTTAATTCCTTGAGCTTCTGTATACAAATCCATCTGTTTTATCAAACTCACAGGAGGCCCATACCCACTGGTGAGTAGGGAGAGCCTTCATCCTTCAGTGGACAGGATGGTTTTCCTGTTTGTTTCTTCCTGGTAATTCCTGAGGACTCTCAAGCACATAACTCTTTTTTAAAACATCTAATGGAATTTCCACCAACTGATGTAAAACTGGACAAAAAGATGGTCTCCTTGCTCCTGATGAAGTCTCTGCTTATTTCTTCATAAGCATCTTGTGATTTCCTGGTAATTGGCTGAAGGACTGGTTCAAATTACAGATCATTAATTACAATACCAAAAACAAACAAACAAACAAACACCAAAACAAAAAACAAAACAAAACCAACCAAACAACAACAACAAAAAAACCAAGACTGGGACTTTGTACCCAATATTTCCAACTTTCTGATTCTACCATTCCAGGAGGGATTTATAGGAGACACAGAAAGCTCACAATTAACCAATCCTTCTCATTTGGCAGGGAAAACAAAAACGCAGTGCTCAGTTGGAAGTGGTCACTTTCTTCATTCATTTCAGAACATACCAGAGGATGGAATTCCAGATGCCATGGAGAAATATTCAATAGGCACAGATGACCCAGTCACAAACAGAGACTTGTTCCTGGAGTTGATTGGGGACGTGATGTTTGCTGTACCATCTGTGATTGTATCTCGTGGCCACAGAGGTGAGTCCAACAGGTTGGATGGCAGCCAACAGACATACAAGCTTTGGTCTCTAACCAGTTCATGTCCTAGGATAGACAGGTGAAAGCTTCTTGTGGTGAGACCTCAGAGTCTGGTTCATGAAAGGCTCTGTTCTGTTCAGTTTCTGACAGTAACAGTGTCTAATGGCAGGATGTAAATACAAACGGTTAATTTGTGGGTTGATCCCAGGAAAGATCACTGAGGGAGATGAGGGGTGACACAGGAAGGAGATGGAGACCAATCAGTGATGCACTGCCAAGCACATGTCCACTGTGTACATTTGGTGCTGGGGAAGGCTGAGAATAATCAGATAAGTCTCAGGGCTGTTCCATGTGAGCAGTGTGGGAGGATATTTGTCCATCACTGCACATTTGTCTTTGTGTGCTTTGATCTGCTGCACACATGGACAAAAGAGTGAGCAGGGAACATCTTGAGGCAAAAGGTCTGGACATAGAAGTCAGGCTTCTTTGCCCAGACAAAATGCCTGCCATAAACATTATGTTGGAAGAGAGACTTATGTGGGGCATGCTTTTAAAGCGTTGTGAATAGACTTTCCTTTGTGTCTTTGAGGTGAGACTCAACATTGTTTGGGGAAGCATAGTGGAGGAAACATGCTGACTTCATGGCATACCAGAAACAAACAAACAAACAAACAGAAACATTCAGGAAGTGGTCAAGAAAGTTATATCTCCAAGGATTCTCCCCTACAGGCACAATTTATTTTTAATATGTGGAAATACTATTTGACATTCATTTGTTGATTTGCTCTGCTTTGATTTTATTCTCTTTACTTATTATTTGTAAGTACTTTGGGAATCTATAGGGTTTCTACATATAAAAACGTGCTGCCCATGAACATTGTTGCACGTCTGATTTCCTTATTTCGATGCCTTCTTTTTCTTTTGTCAGATGGTTGAGGCAAACTTCCAACACTATGTTAAGCCAAAGTAACGTGTGAGGTAACCTTTGACTTGTTCCAAATTCTAGAGGAAAATATTTTCCTTGTTGTGAACAACATTGGCCCTGGTCCTTTTACATGTTACCTTTATTATGTTAAAATATACTCAATCTCTCTCTTATTTGTTCAACTTTTTATCACGAAAGTTGAATTTTAGCAAATATTTTTCTGCATATAATGAGGTGATTATTTTGCCCCTCTGCATGTAACATGGAGTAGCACAGTCCTTGTGTGTGTTAAACTGGTGTGAACCACACTCTAACTCCTGTTTGAACATGGTAAATGATCTTTCCACTGTGTCATTGAACTGGTTTTCTGGTATTCTGTCAAGTATTTTTCCATCTGTGTTCATTAAGGGCCCGGATGTAGTCTTCTCTCCTTGAAGTGCCTTGTCTTATTTTCAAATCTATATGATTTTGGAAAGATTTGGGAAAGAACTGGAAATGTTCTGTTGAGTTTTGAAGAAATTAGGCAAGAATTTGAGCTATATGGTTCCCAGATCTTTAAACATGTGTTGTTATTCTTCAGGGAAATTGCCACTTTTCTTTAACATAAAACTTTGATCACTAATTCAAGTACATTCACTATTGATCTCCATATCACCTGTTTCTTCTTTGTTCAGCTTTGGTAGGCTTTATTGGACAAATAATTCATCTGCTTCTGCCATGTGATCCAATCTGTGTTCTTACAGTTGTTTGTAATAATCTCTCATGATCCTTTGAATTCCTGTGGCACATAGTGTGAAGCTATTCTCTCTTTTTATGATTTTATATACTTGATTCTTCTCTGATTTTTTTTTTGCCTGATGGATCTAGCTAAATTTTGCTGATATTGTTTATCTTATAAAACCTTTTAAACCTTCATACTCTCACAAATCTCTCTGTTTTTCTTTGACCCCCTTTTCTCTGGCTGTTTAACTCAGTTCCCTAAACATTCCAGGTGAGCACTCTATCAACTGGACAGCATTCCCAGGTTAAGCGAAATAAACTTGACTTAGTAAGATAAATATAGTGTGTATCTTCTCATATGTGGAGCCTAGCTTTAAATTTGTATGAATGTATGAATGGAAGGGAGAAACTAGAAAAAAATGAGCAAAGACGCAATCTTAAAGAAGAGGGAAAAAGAAAGAGGACAATATTATACATGTATCCTAAAAGTAGAATAAGGGGTATTGTTAGAAGAAAGGAGACAAGCAAGTGGGTGGAATGGGCATGGAGGAGGGCAGTCAAGGGAAGAAATAAATAAAATGTGTATGGAAATACAGCAATGAAAAACACACTATGCTTCATGCTAACTTAAAACATGAATTAAGAAAACAAAGAACACTTTCAGGCAAACCCTTGGATTTGTTTCTCACTCCATGAAACGACTGAGCAAAACATGGAAAATGTTCAAAACCAGCCAGAGAAAGACACTTAGTAGGCTGTAGATCTTCTTGGAATGAGCGTGCACTAGTGCATCACCACCAACATGTACCTGGTTTGCTTTTGGGTGTATTTTCATTAATTTTTATGTCCATGAATGACTGACTCAAATGCTACCTCCACTTGCCCTTGTTAGGCAGCCACCAGCACACCCAGGTGATTCACTGACTGCATTCTTCTGCTTTGCTGATGAACAGTGGTTCCTGCACATGTAGAGGCCTATACACCCTCCAAGTCCCCCCCCAGTGTCATAAACTGTACACGAATCCGTGTCTTCCCAGATGCTGGAGCCCCCACCTACATGTACCAATTTCAGTATCACCCAAGCTTCTCATCAGAACTGAAACCTAAGACAGTGATTGGAGACCACATAGATGAAATCTACTCTGTCTTCGGTGCTCCAGTTTTAAGAGGTAATAGTGCTTTGTTCCCTGCGAGCTTGCCATTAGGAGGTCTGGGTTCCCAATCAGGCTTCCATGGCCTTGAGCACGTTTCTCTTAAAATTCATTTCCCAAGTCATGGTAACAGGAATGAGATAAACTGTCAAGAGCCCAGCCTTTCTCCCATTCCAGCATACATGAGGAAAGTACATACTCATAAGCAGCCAGCAACACTTTGCATCAAGATGTTGACCACTAATATAAGGCATAGACACGGGTCACTCAAGTTCCCCCACCCGAAGATAAGAATTCCCATTTGATTTCCCACTCAAAATGCCACATCAGAATGTGAGTTAGGATGAGGTCAAGATCTTGCTGATAATACCTTAATTCTCAGCAGTTTGTGTGATTTGACCCACTTCAGTGGCTGCTGCTGACACACTCCGGGCATCTCATAATTGTGTTTTAGGATGTCTGCTCCTCTAATATTTCTTTAAATTGTGAATTTGTGAGTTTGAAGGGGAAATTGAGAAATTACCCAATTGCCAGAAATAGACTCATATGAGGATGCCATTGAGCTGCAGCATCTGAATCCTGAATATGGAAGAGCTGGATGGTAAGCATGGAAAACAAAGCCAACCAGCCAGGAATGAACTACACAACCATTCCTGAGTCCTGGATCATTCATTTGCAACCTGAAAGTGCACACCAGCTAAATACAACCTTCTTGCAATGAACAATCAGACAAAGAAATTTTGGAGTTAGGATCCGTACTCTGCATTTTTAACAAGCTATTGCTGGTTTGTGAAATGCATATTGAGCTACTAATATATATATTTCCCTCAGAAGGTGCCTCAGAAGAGGAGACCAACCTCAGCAAGATGATGATGAAATTCTGGACCAACTTTGCTCGGATGAGTGAGATTAGCACAAAGATATTGAGCAAGATAGGATCATTGGGAATGGGTGGATTTCAAAGCTTAAGGGAAGAACTACCATCCCATGACCACAGTGCTCTGACAGTGGTGATCCCCAATTTCTTGTTGTGCGGAAGCCTTTGGCAGAGATAAACCAGAGATCCCTATACATTTCACATGAATGTAGAACCACACAGCAACTTTAAGAAATTCTGTTTGATTCTGTTTACAGGAATCCCAATGGGAAGGGGCTGCCCCATTGGCCAGAGTATGACCAAAAGGAAGGGTTCTGCAGATTGGAGCCACCACCCAGAAAGCCCAGAGACTGAAAGAGGAGGAAGTGGCTTTCTGGACTGAGCTCAGGACCAAGAAACCTCCCCAGACAGTGCACACTGAGCTATGAATGGGAGGCTTTGCCAGTCTCAAAAGACTGGCAGAGTCAAGATCAGGACACTTCATAGAACATGTTTCTTGGCAAAAGATGAAACTTTGAGAAGATCAGAGAATTTTATCATAGTGATGGGAAGAGGCAGAGAGAGTAATGGTTGTACCTCAATTTAGTAAATAAATGTTCATTTTTAGAGCAATCCAGTGTCTTTGTTTCCACCTACTGTAGATTGAAGAAGACAAATAGAGACTATAGTAGGAAGATGTGGGCCATGTAGTGGGGTGTGTCTTAGCAAATGGTTACCATCTGTATATTGTTACTTTTCTGTGTGTCTTCAGGGTTCTAGCTACTTGGTACTAGAAAGCCAATTGCGTGATCTCACCTGGAGAAGACCATTTCCCTGCTTTCAACTTTCCTTTGTTGCCTCTTTTTTTTTTTAAACAGTATGGTTCTATCGAAGGGACTAATAAAGACATTTATAAACAAATCACATCTGACCTCATCTGACACCGAGAAGAGAAAATCATCCTAACAGAAAATGGACTTATCTCTTCTGGGGCTGCTGAGCCTAAGGCACTGTAGAATATGACACATTATTTTCTTTCATGTGTGGAATCTAGATTTACGTCTGTGGGGTGTGTGTGTGTGTGTGTGTGTGTGTGTGTGTGTGTATCAGGGTAGTAGTAACAGTAAAGAGGGGACCATGATAAATGAGGAAGAGATCCTTAGGGAGATGAGATAATAGAACATCTTGAGGGATGGACTGACCCAAGGCTTTCTCTGAGACCCTGATGTACACACAAGAAACATAGCTCCTTTTATAAACCAGGAACATGTTTGGCAGAGCCAGTAATATCCTAAACCCAGAGCCTTGGAAGCTTTTCCCTGAGGTTCCCATGCAGAAGAAGGAACCTGCTTTGGCAGATGTTTCCTGTTTCTACTGAATCATTATGCTTCTGCTGCTGCATGTTGCTGCTGCTGCCTTGCTGTTTGACTAGACTGCTGGTATCCTGACAACTGAGTTTGGTAATCCCTAAAGAACCCATTGACCCTTATCAACAGGAAGTAGGTAAAAGAGGTCTACACTAATCTCTTACCTATGGTGGTGGGGGGAGGTTGGAAGGTAGGTAAAGGCCTTTAAGAACTTTAAATAAAGTAGGTGTTTAGAAAACCTAAGGCTACACACAGTTACTTGTCTAAAACCAGGACTTTGCTTTACAGATCCAATAATAGTCTGCAGCCAGGGCCTAGGGTCAGAAGGCATACTGGGAAACCAACTCTTCCCACTATATAGAGCTAGGGTTATCAATTCTCAGGCCACTGTGTGTAAAGCTCTTGAGATACCCTATATTCCTTTTGTGCAAGTTTTCTTGATTAACTTCCTGCTGATTTCAGCCCATTGTATGATTGTTTCTCCTGACTCTGTCCCATTTGTTCCCTGGAAATGGTATATAAGATGCTGTATTTTTTTTTATTAAAATTGCTTGCATAAGACATGACTTATGAAAGACCTCTGAAGCCCATTTTTCTTTTTCCTTAACTATGATGCTCTGGACCTTCTTTCTTAGGTCTCTCTCACAGAAGAACTCAGGTCAGAAACCCACATGACATGAAAACGCAAAGCCTAACAAGCTCAGAGGAGAATGAGGACAAGCAAGAAAGATATGCAAGAACAAAGTGGGAGGAGGATGAAAAAAGTATGACTTATTTATAAAAATGTCATAATACTACCTACGAATGATTTTTAAGAAGATATTGAAGATCCTTAGGTAGAACAGAAGCCTAAACAAATAGCTAAATTAGAAAGCAATGTATGTTACCTTTGTCACATGTCAGAAGGATGTTGGGATAAAGGGTTGGGGACTTCAGTCTCTCACCCAAGAAAACTATGTTCACAGGTGCCTGCTGGCTAGCCCTATGGGTTAGCTTTCCCAGTTTCCTTTCTGTAGAAGGAAATGCCAAGCATTGTGGTAAATGTTTGAAAATGAATGGATAATGAATAGGCTGGTGATTAGATTATGGAGGAATATTTATCATGGAAATACTCTGTTTCCAAACCCCTCTTCTTCAAAGTAGTGAGCTCTCTGACCATAAAGGTGAGCAGAAGAAGGCAAGGCACTTGACAGGAGTCCTGCAAAGGCAGCATTTAGGTATCTTGAGGCTGAGCTGTTTAGAGGCTTTGATTTGTTCTAAAATCTTCCCTCCTCTTCTGAAGATGCCAAATCAAACCTTTTCCAGCCTGAAGGCCCATGTCTGCTGTGCTAGTCTCTGTCTCTGGGAGGCTCCCAGAGCACTGAGGTTTGAATAGCTAAGGGAGAAACATTATTTAAGAAGTCATTGGATTAGTTAATGGACTTCTGCTATCTGAGAATCAGACAATGATTGTTCAAAGAAGAGAGAGAGTGTGTGTAAACTCTAAGTGGGTGTGGCTAAGAGGTCCCATTAGACATGCAGGTGAGGGATTTTCATCTGGTTATTTTATGCAAATTGACTAAGTGGACAGGGTTTCAGGCATAGGTTTATATCTGTGGGACAGGACCAGCTCGTTACATTCACTCACCAGACATCTCACTGGACCCCCAAAACTACCAACTTTCCACGATATGCCTTTACGATTTGGTCCTGATCTCTCACTACCTGCTTGATTTTGGAGTGCATTTGAAATTCTTCTCCTGGGCCTCGGTTAATGCAAATGAATGCTGAGGAATTAAAAACAGGCCCCAAACCTTAGAGGTTTTTGCCCTCTAGACATGGACAGAATACATGGGTGAGTCTAAGCACAGGGCTCTGGATCCAATTTTATGTCCTTAAGTGAGGAACTAAACTCTGCAGTGTCAGATCCTTCCCCTTTGGGATACAGTTGGGAGTGAAATGTGTGTGTCTGTGTGTGTGTGTGTGTGTGTGTGTGTGTGTGTGTGTGTGTGTGTGCAGTACTCTGACTGATGGCTGGTCTAGAGGAGATACAGAAAAGGTGTGACTTAAAATAGAGTACATCTATAGAAAGTTTGACACGCAAAATTATCCAAGAGCAGTTTACCATTGAAAAGATGATTTCTTGCTGAGAGATCCCTGAAAGGGGCTGGGGTACAAAAGTGAGGGAGGGCAGGGAGGGAGGCACTGGGATTAGTTTTAAGTCTGAGGTGGAATGGAAGCTGGTCTTTGTCATGGTTTACCCTCAAGAGGAGGGTAAAGAGAGGAGGCAGGAGAAAGGGGTGTAGTCTTGACTAGTTGGGGCAATTTCAGGGAGTTTGAGGATTTACAGACTGTTTCTAGTTTAATGGTACCCAACTCTGTGTGATCAAGACAGGTCACAGGCTAGGAAACCTAGATATGTAGTTGGCTGGGATATGGTTCTGGGGTTGTTGGTCCCTAGGGGTGACAGTTTATCTCAGAACCTCAGTGGTCAAAGCAACAGATATAGAAAACAGATCCACAGTCAGGACAGGTGCAGTATGGGAGCTCAGCACCCATTTGTGCCACTCCAAGGAGAGAGAATAAGGCTTCCAGGGGAATGTGCTCAGCCAAGGTCTTCTGGAATCATACCTTACTCTATCTCTAGCTCCAGAATCTACAGCAGTGCTTCCCTGTTAAGGACCATGGCCTTGTTGTCATTTTTAAATGTTCCTTCTGTTTGGCTTTGTGACACTGTGAGCATGTGGGAACAGAGTATAAGCAGAGTGAGATAAAATTGAAGTGTAATATGTCTATAGTGCTGACTGCCCTCACAATGACCACTTAATTTCTATCTTCAGAAAGTTCATCCAGTCTGCTTACATTCTTTTTTTTTTCATCTTTAATAGGGCCTGATAACTCCTAGTTAGCAAGGCTTATTTTTTTATTTTTACTTTTATTTTTTGAGGAGTATTGGAACATACTTGTAGCACACAGTCGGTGATCAATATGTGAAAATGTGTACATTCCATTTTATTTAAGCAACAGCTATATTCCTGTTTGTGCTCCCATCCCATAAGTCCAATTTTGTACTCAGAACAACTGAATTTCTTCCTGCTTCATCTGGGTAAAGAATACTCATTGAGTTAACATAGGCCCCGCCTATGTCTGTCTGACTCCTCCTCAGGACTCTTGCCACCCGCCACCTCCCTTCCCCTTCGTTGATCTGCCACCACCCTGGTAGGTGTTTCTCACTGGGCTTCAGCTGTCCCTGTGCTTCACACTTGCTCCTCACAGTATATAAATTCCATCATGTATGCCCTCATGGTTAGCTGGGGAACCCTACCTACCACTTCGCTTACCTCCTTCCGGTGTTGAAATTCTTAAGTCTGGGGTCATGTTCCCACTTGGAGTTCCTCCAACTGTATGTCTTAAAAGTAAACAGCAACACTCACTTGTTTTTCCATGTTCTTTCTCTTCAGGCCTCATATCTAGTCAATGATTGAGTCAACCTTTTAATCACGTATATGTATATGTATATGTATATGTATATATATATGTATATGTATATGTATATGTATATGTATATGTATATGTATCTCTAGATCTCTACATAACTCTTTTACCTAATTAAAAGAGTCCATTGTAGCACAGACCCTTGGAAGTCACACAAAATAGCAACCCTGTGACCCATGGACATTTCAGGGGACATGTATACTCCTCAGGAAAGATATCTCAATGGGACTAGTGACATAAAGTGAAAGGAACAAGCATAGAGTTTCTCTATGTAAACCAATGTGTGACCATGATTTGATGATGAGGCTTTCAGCATTATTGGCTATTCTTGATATAGACACTCTCAAAATTACGATGGGCTTATTCCATTATTAAATCATTGATCTTGAAGAAAAAAAAAATTACAAATCAAAACATCCTAAGTTAGAGATCCATGGTGAGTAGAAAGGGGATGAATGAGAAGCTATGGGGAGATGGAGAAGGACTGTGCTGAGGAAGAATGAAGAAGGGCCAGTAGTTAGGCAAAGGTCTGATGCCCCATCTCTCTCCCTCTGAATGGTCAAGCTTAGAGTTATGAAATGAATGTTCTAGAATCTTGGTGTATTCTT